GGGAGGGGAAGGAAGAAGCGAGAGAGAGAAAAAGAAAGAAAGAAGAAAGAAAGGAAGGAAGGAAGGAAGGGTAGGAGGAAGGGAGGGAGGGAGGGAGGAGGAAAGAAAAAGAATTGGTGTGTTCGCCTGACTGCGGGGCTGGGAGGGGCGGGAGGATTATCAGGGGCCAGGGGAGACTTCTGGGGGTGACAGAAGTGGTCACAATCTTGATTGTGGCGGCAGCTCCATGGGTGTGAGCGTAAGTCAAAATGCATCAAATGATACAATGAAGTATGTGCAGGTTTCTGTATAGTAATTGTGCCTCAATGAAGCTGTGTTTCAAATAATAGAGGAGGGAGCCGCTCCTGTCCCAGGAGAGGGCTGTTTCCCTGGCAGCAGGTCACTCGGACCAGCACTGCTCAGCCTCAGCACTGTGGACAGTTCTTTGTTTGGGGGCTGTCCTGGGCATGGCGGGATGCACCCCTGGCCTCTGCCCATGCGATGCCAGGAGCTCCCCCTGCCTTCCTCCAGCTGTGACATCAAGATGTTTCAGGCACTGCCAAATGTCCCTGGAGGGCAGAGTCAGCCCTGGTAGAGGCCCCTAGACCATGGCAGCTTCACACACGGGCTCGTGAAGACCTGAACAGGGAACATGACCAGTAAGCAGACCCTGGGGCAGATGAGTGCGGTGGGGGAACCTGCACATCGAGGCCTCAGTCCCTATTCTGCTCTGCAGCCTGGCTGGCTCAGGGCCCCGTCCTGGCTCTCCTGTGTGGCTGCAGGAGAACCGAAGGGAAAGTTCAGAAGCTTGGGCGCATTATCGGCAAACTGAGATACACTCTTAAGCCCCAGGCAAATATAAGGGATGCTTGTTAATGCTTTCTTGGAATGAAATTAAAACAATCATTATATTATGGGCACAAACATGTTCAGAGGGTCACTGTTCACAACAGTACAAACTGGAAACAACCCAAATAGCCATCGACAGTGGAATGAGTGAGGGAAGCGTGGCATTTTCCTATGAGGAATCCTATACAGCAGTGAAAATGAGCAGACCACTGCGTCACACAACACAAGTGGGTCTCACAAACATCATGCTAGGTAAACGTATATATTCTGTAGGTTGCAATTTATATAAGGCTAAACGTGGGCAAAATTAAAGTTCATTGTGTAGAAATGAATTTCTAGATGGCAACACCATAAACACCAAAGATGTGATCATCGTAAAAGTCAGGGTTAGGGCTACCCTGAGTGGAGAAGGGAGGGATAACAACCAGGAAGGGACAGGGTGGCTTATGGGGCTAGCTGTGTTCTAACTTTTCGCCTTAGGTATTTACACATGCGTGCCAGTTTTACGATTATTTGTTAAATGGTATGTTTACATTTTTTTCACTTGTTCATACATATATATGCTGGATTTCACAATAAAAAAAAATATTTTAAGGAGTGTTTTTGGCTGGCAGGCCCTGACACACTCCCTGTGAGTGACCGGGGCCGGGGAAAGTCTCATTCGCCATAGTGGGAGCCCTCCCCCCACTCCCCACTGGGACTCACAGAGTGGTCAGCTGGCTCATGTTGGTGAAGGAGGAGTTGCTTAAGGAGCTGATCTTGTTGTTACTTAGGTCCCTGGAAAAGACAAGAGCCCCCGACAGACGGTTTCATAGTAAGAACTGCCTGACACTGGTCCTCCTTCCCTCCTTGCCTTCTCAATGCATCTGAGCCCCTAGGGGAGCTGCCTCACATTAGACCAAAGAAAGGTTGTCTCTCTCTTTGGCCCTCTGTCATCAGCCACCAAATCACTGCCCCCACCTCCCTACTCCTGCCCCTCCCCACCACACACACATTGGAACATTCAAAACACATTTGCTACAATTGTGAGCAAAGACAGATAAACTGTCAAAATTCTGTAAGTCACCCAGCCAGCGTGGCTCAGTGGTTCAGCGCCGACCTATGAACCAGGAGGTCACATCACAGTTCAATTCCTGGTTAGGGCACATGCCTGGGTTGCAGGGTTGATTCCCAGGGTGGGGTGTGCAGGAGGCAGCCGATCAATGATTCTCTCTCATCATTGATGTTTCTCCCTCTCTCTCCCTCTCCCTTCCACTCTGAAGTCAATAAAAATTTATTTTTAAAAAATCTGTAAGCCAGTGCTGCTCTAAGTAGTCAGTCCTTGAACCGATTATTCCATACAAGGAACTTGTGCCAAAATGTGACCTCCTAGGACACCAAACACAACTAACGGTAGCTAACATGTTCTTCATAGCGAGACTTCCTCAGTGAAGGAAGCAAAATGTGGGTCACATTCGGTGCAAGTCCCTTGTGGAGTGTGGACCTAGTACAAGCAGTCCTTGGGCTGCTGGCCCACAGACACACTTGGCGTAGCGCTGCTCCAAGCCACACTAAGATGGAGCGCTCTCGGGACTTCTTTTTTGATAGAATCTGGCCGATGAGCAGATAAAGGCAACTGAAGGGAGGTGTTAAAATTAGGCTGGGAGGCTAAGGGGAGCTCATTTATTCTGAGGTTTATTTTTTTCTTGTTTGTTTGTTTTTTATCCTCACCTGAGGATATTTTCCCATTGATTTTTAGAGAGAATGGAAGAGAGAGGGAAAGACAGAGAGAAATATCAATGTGAGAGAAACATATTGATTGGCTGCCTCCTGCACACGCCCTGACCAGGGCCCAGGAAGAAGCCTGCAAATGAGGTACATGCCTTTGACTAGAATTGAACCCAGAACCCTTGGTCCACAGGCCGACACTCTATGCACTGAGCCAAACCCTCTAGAGCAATGGTTCTCAACCCAGAAATCAGGATTTTAAAAAACTTCCCAGGTGATTCTAATGTGCAGCAAGGTTGAGAACCACTGCTCTAGAGCCTGCGGTTTATTTTGTATTTTTTCATGAGGTCAAAACAGAAAAGCTCATGTTAGTCTCAAGAAAAATTTAGTTACAGATACTTCTTTGTAGCACCCATATTCCATATTTGGTTTGGGGGCTTAGGTTGGACTGAGAAATTTCCCATAACCCTCTACATCTGCCCTGCCTCCTGCCTTTGCAAAGCTGACCAGCATTAACAATAATTACCAGCCTAGAAGGCCGTTTGGGGAGATGGTGTGGAACAGTGCAATTCCAAAGCATGACCACTAGGTGGCAGAACAGCTCTATGCACAGATGTCCCCAGAGGGAAAGGGTGAAAATTAAACAAAAACAAAAACAAACAACAGAATCAACACAACTGGGGTCAGTGGGGAATTCCAGTAAAACTGGAGCCACCAGGGTCAGATGCCGATGGCCCCCCTGTCCTCTGGGGCAGGTCTGGGGTCCTCAAGTCGCCTGGACACTCACACAAGCTGCAGGTACTTGTAGGTGGACAGCTGTCCCGGAACCAGCGTGAACTGGTTCCCGTCCAAGTAGCTATAGGAGAAAACACAACAGTTAGTGCACCATCTCCGCCTGCCCCCTCCCAGGCTGGGAGAACCTCTCCCTGCAGCCAGGGCCTCCTCGCTCGCGTTCTCTCCTCTGGTAGACCACCAACGGCCCCGAATCGCTAACTGGGGGAGAAAATACATAAAGCTTTTAGGCGTTTGGGCAGGTGCCACCCAAAAAACTTGGTAAAAGCCACTGAGACATGAAGCCTCCTTTGGCTCCCTTTCCGCTTCCCTGTATCGCCCTCTCAGCCTCCTCCCCTGTGGGCACTGCCAGTGTTCAATCCTGGGCTCCTGGGAAGCTGCCTTCTGTCCTGCCAACCTTCTGCGGCCCACTCTACGCATTGCCACTCAAGTCAGAGTCCATAAAGCCACGCCCATCCAAAATTCTCCTAAAACTTCCCCAAAGCATAGAGCTTGGGACTCAAGGAGCTTCAGGCCTGCCCTGCTTCCCCCACCATCACTGCCACCAGCCATCCTTGCGAAGCAGTGACCCGAGTGCCAGCTGCTGATGCCCCAGCGGGGCTCCCTGCACAGGACCCTCACCAACTGCAGCCCTCAGGACGGCTCCAGCTTCAGGAGCAGCAACATCAGTGCTGTCCTCGCCCTGACCCATCCCTCTGTTGTCACACAAAGTGACTTCCCGCCCCCCCCCCACCCCCACCTATCTCATTGGTTCTGCTCAGCAGCCCTTCAATACACCAAGTAGCCCCATTTTACAGCTGGGAAACTGAGACTGTGAAAAGTCAAGTGGCTTTCCCAGCATCCTTAGAGTTGCTATGAGACACCAAGGAGAAAACTGGGATTCTGACGCTGCGACAGAAAACTGGGCAGGGGGTGAGGTGGGCGAGTCACTGGACAAGAACTGCAGTGGTTGATGTGTGTGTGTGTGTGTGTGTGTGTCAAGAAATAGCCAGCCTTGAGGATAATGGAAGAATAAAATGAAAATTTCATGCTCTCCCCCATGGGGAAAAGCTCGGCTACGGAGGCCTGGAGGGACCAATCCCAGGGGACAGGTAGAGCTGGGGGTTGACCAGAGCCTCCCACTGGGAAGTGCCTGTTGAAGAAGCCGGGCCTGCCATTCCCATCCTCGCCCACCTGAGTTCAGATACCAAACCGGACGTCCACCACACACCCAGTGCTGATGGGAGGGCAGGCGGGCCATTGCCAACACGGCTAGCGGGAGTAGGAAGGGAACAACTTTTCTGGAAGGCCGTCAAAGGCAGCGGGAGCCCTGACAATGCACCGTTCTTTGGCTAATCTCTTCACCAAAGGGACCCTTGCCTCGGCGTTACTCATGACAGTAGAAAAATGGAGACAATTTAAATATCCAACAAAGAGGAATCTGTTATACAATTCATCATAGAGTCATGTGATGGAATATTATGCAGCCAGTAAAAAATCGCTTTTGTGGAAGTTTTCATTGCAGAGCAGAATGCTCATGAGATGATGTAAAGCGAAAAAAGTAATCTTGTTTCTTCTTTTAAAGGCAGAGCTTAATTTAAAGGAATGAAGCGCTTGCTACGGGTGACTCACGCCACCGGGGGACTGCAGAGGGGGGTCAAAGCAAAGCTCAAAGGCTTCTGGGAACCAGTGTCGCTGCAAGGCCCTAACTCCAGGCGCTAGTCAGCTGGTATCTGCCCTGGCACCTTCTCCTACTCACAGTTCTGTGACGTTCTTGGGGATGCCCTTGGGCAGGCCCTGGAGGTGTTTGTTGCTGCATCGGACCACGGTGTCCAGGCAGGCACATTCCTGGGGGCACTGGGGACGGGGCAGGCAGCTCCCCTCCTCCTGGCCTGGGGAAGAAGCCACGTCAGTGAAGGGCAGGCCTTCGTAGTGCCTCCTGTATCCAGGGCCATGTGTGGGGAGCCTCAGAACAGAAGCCCCTCTTGGACCCTCCCTCAGGAGCCATGTCTCCTCTTGGCTGTGCCCCTCCCCCACCAGGGACAAAGCCCCTTGGACCTGTTGTGAGGTTAATACAGGTCTTGGATCGATCTCTTCTACTTCGGACCCAAGATGGCCCTGGACATAGCAGAGAAGAGGGTGGCAGCCACACGTTTTCTTGAGCACCCACTATGCGCTAGACACTATCGAACAGTCTCCCTAGCAGTGCAGTAAGGGGTGCCACTCTCACCCCTAGAATGTGAGGGCAGAGACGTGCCTCTTCTTTGTTCACTGAAGGAGCCTAGTGCCCAGAGCGGGGCCTGGCACACAGGAGCCCTCCCAGTAGATCCGTAGGATGGTGAATTTCTCCTTGACTGTGATTTGGGGAGGTTAACGAACTTGCTCAGGTCTGGAGACCAGTTAGGAGCAAGGTGGGCTCCGTACCCATTGCATATGAGACAGAGTGTGAACCCGTAAGCCTGCAGCACCTGGAGCAGCCAGGGGGCAGGCCTCTGGGTTAAATGTACTTATATCAAGAAAATCCACTAACATGTTAAGTGGGACTTTCTCTGAAAGTCAGATAATTGGTAATGTTTACTTTCTTTTTTATTATCCATATTTTCCCATTTTAA